TTCTCCGATTAAATTATAATGACTTCTGACGTTCGATCAGCGGTTATCCAACGCGGAGCTTCAATAGCAAAAATTCAATCGCAACGGAACTTGCGGTTGATAACCACGCCCAAAAGTTAGAAGTCACTATATTGGAAGCGTGGGGTATTGGCGGTTCGTACGCTGTCGCGGACGCGGGCGAACGGGAGGCGGTGATGGCGTGGCACGGAAGTTACGCGTGCGTCGAAGCGACGCACCTGGCTAACACGGAGAGCTCGCGGCCTCCCTTTCGTGGCGTGAGCGCGCGCACGAGGGCAGCCATGCGAGGGCGTGAGTCACGACTGCGCACTTTTCGGCTGCGTTCGGGATTCAAGGGGATGGTTCTATTCTTCGTTCCATTTCTGTAAATTATTCGTTGGGACTTGTTTGGCGAAGTGTCGGGGCATCTAATGAATAAGTGAAATAATTTCATCGTTTGTGGTGGGTTTCGCCGTGATGCACTTTTTAAAACGCATGCATACTGGAACGTTTGTGTCGAGATCTTTGTCTCCATTGTATCGCCCTAGTAAGAAGCGAATTCAAGATATTTTGGAGGTATTATCACATTTGGAATATGAAATCAATACTTCAATCATTAGATGATTGTGAACTGATTTTCTGGTACTTTTTTTAGCACATTACATAAATCAAATTAATAAATAAAAAGTATTTGTGAGCATATTTAGACCTGCCCAAATTTGTTTCTTTAAGTCACATGCCTTGAATTGAGTGTGTGGACGCTAGTGGAGCGGTGACGTGGAATGTACACGTTGGAATCAACATTGAAGTTTACTAGAGAGCTAAAAGTTATTAAAATAACTTTAATTGTAAAGTCTGCATTGTTTATCGTGATTTCAAAGTTCAGACCAAAACGATACTGCCGTCAAAGTGACTCAACGATGAAGCCACTCTACAGACCGAAGTGCTGTCGTACAACGTGATGGGTCTCTCTGAAGCACATTGTGGCGGGGAAAGTTCGCTTAGGCCGAACAAGACGCGCCGGGAGGCGGTCATTCCTTCTCCTCGGGTGTTGGCGGGTGCTGCCGACGGC